TAGAAGAGAAACAATGGAGTTTTATGCTGTATGGGTTGTGGGTGTGGATTTTCTTTCTCTTTCCATTTTTTTTTTCTTTATGGTAGTGAATTCAAAACATTTATGATTTGCCTAGATTATGCTTTTTGTAACTGGATGAGAAACACAATGTAACAGAAATAATATTCCAGTCCATTGACTATCCTCCATGGTGGCATTTTGGAAAGCAAATGGAGGGAGTTCTTTCTGAATCATTCCTTTTTTTTTTTTTGCTTCTTTTTAAGAAACAAAGAGAAGGAGATTTGTATCCCTTTAATTTTCTGGACTGTGTCTTTTGACTCTCATCTTATTGCATATAATAGTTAAAATGTAATGTCTCATTGAAAAGCATTTTTCCCCTAAAGATTTATCTTAAGGAAGATATTGAGAAGGCTATTTCTATTTTTTATTTCTGGGAATAAAAGATGTTTTTGTTCATATACCTGACTCAAACTTCCTACTGAACATACTATTTGTAAGACATATTCTTTATTTCAGTACTATCCTCCTTGATGAGGCATTCAGGGTAGTTGCACATAGTTCTATAGGAAACAGAGGGATGTGAATTTATGCATAGGAAGAGTGTTGAATAAAAGGGTGTAAAGAAACTAAAGAGAAATGTTCTTTTTTTCCTATAAAAAGGACAGAAGGTGGGTGGTAGAAGAGAAGCTTCCATTCTATAATGTTAAAATAGTATATTTTCTACTCTTCTAAAGCACTGAGTTCTTAACTTCTACCAAAATGGGGCTATAATCCAGGCCAATTGTAACTTGTGAATCACAGATAATTTACTGAGTCTCAGAATATCTAGGTGTCCTGGAATTGTTTAGTCAAAGGGAAGCAAACTTCCTGGGTCACATTGCTCCTGCCCATTTGGAGATGATGCCTCCGATGTAAAATTTAATGCTGTGTCCTCAGACCTCTGAACGATTGCTATCACCATCCTCTCTTTGAACAGAATTTAGTGTAAAACAGCCTAAACCTGAGAACGTCTGAAGTGTCTACATTGATCAAATTCATTAGTAAGGATTTAGAGGAACCATTTGTTTCAGGAAAGCCAAGTATGACCATTCAGATTTTATACTTGAAATAACTGAAATACACAGAAATTATAGGGTCCATATGAGATCCCTCCTCTTATTAGAGATGATGTCATGGGCTATAATTAAAAAAAGATATGGAAAGGTAGGTATCTACATTGCTCCTTTCTCAACACATAATTTTTGAAATGATGCTGTTTCTTTGTCCTTTTGGTACAATATTGGAAAGAGTTATACAAAACTTTCTTTTGGCATTGTTTATATTATTCCCTGGCAATAAATACTACTTGCCATATGGAGCTTTTTCTTGAGCTAGTATTTTTTCTTGTATACATAAATCTTCACAGATATGGGTTTATTTCTTTACCCCTTCCTACCATTTTGAAGATACCAAGGGCAGAGAAATACTCTAATATATTCTTGTACTCTAATATATTTTTTACCCCTTACCTATAGTTTGTTCTACTATGGGCAAGTATTTACTGATTGCTCAGTTTATATTTTTTAATGTTTATTTATTTATTATTTGTGTGTGTGTGAGAGAGAGAGAGAGAGAGAGCGCAAGTGGGGGAGGGGCAGAAACCGAGGGAGACACAGAATCTGAACCAGGATCTAGGCTCTGAGCTGTCAGCACAGAGCCCAACATGGGGCTCAAAACCACAAACTGTGAGATCATGACCTGAGCTGAAGTTGGATGCTTAACTGAGCTACCCAGGTGCCCCTTGATTTCTCAGTTTATAAAGTTGAGATGAGCAGAGAGAAGGATCACTGGACTGTTTAAGGTTCAAGTTGTAGGGCTATATCTTGTGATGATAGGTGGATTCTCACCTAAGGCAATTCACAAAGTAGGTAAGCCTCTAGCTCAGAGTAAATGGCAGATCAAATTGGATAACATATATAGAAATTATTCAGTAACTGCACTTCTTCATTTTCTTCATCCTATGTACATTCTATCTACATTTGGTCTTCATTAATTTCTCAAAGATTGAGTTAAATCAATTGAACGTGTTATTCTTTGGGTAGAAAGGAAAATGTAAAAAGTAAGGTATACCCTAAAATTTTGGAATGAGTAACATGGTACAGTGAATGTAAGATACCACAAGTGGAAGTAGGAATTGATTTTGACTATACAACCTGGATCTTTAACATAACAGTGTGGGTGTTAAAAAAAAAAAATGAAAAACAGAGGTGCTCAGTCAGTTAAGCATCCAGCTTCAGCTCAGATCATGATCTTGTTGTGGTTCATGAGTTCAAGCCCCATGTCAGTCTGTGTGCTGCAGCTTAGAGCCAGGAGACTACTTTAGTTTCTCTCTCTCTGCCCCTCCCCTATTCATGCTCTGTCTCTCTGTCTCTCCTCAAAATTAAATAAACATTAAAAAATTTTTAAAAACTCAACAAATCACCCCTGTTTTTCTCTTTCATCTCATATGGAGTTATCCTCTATGAGGTAAGTGCTGCTTGTAATAAGGAATATACAGGCAATCTGGACAAGAAAAGCACATATAGGCTTTTGAGGACTTCCCAGAGTTGCTGATCACCATGGCTATTATCCAAGTTCCTGCACAAAGAATGCGATGATGGTCATCTGATTTATGGAATCTGCTGGGAGAACAGAATCATAACTATTTTTAGCATGTGTTGAATGACTGTATTTTAGGATTGCTCTTCTTGATTTAGGATGTCACCTCACATTTTAAAATGATGCTTTGTTTTTTCATTGAGATATTCCTTCCTTTGTGCAGGTCCAGGCCTCATTCACATTGTGTGTAATATGCCAGAACAAACAGATAAATCATCCCCAGCCAGAGCAATGTAATGCTAGGTTACTGTCATCTTGCCCTGAGTGCTGAAATCCTGCCACTTTCAGAGTGGTTACCCTATAATATTATTTCACTGAAGAAATAATAGCACTTTTCTCTATCTCTTAAAAATATCTTCTGGCATTTTCCAGGGCATTAATCATAAAATCTGTGTTTAATAAAAGGAGAAATAGGAAATAATAAGAAATGAATTAGATTTTGTGCAGCACTGACAGGAACTATGTGAATGCACAGTATGTTGGGAGGTAAAGGTTTTGGGATTTTGACGTGTTAAAATGAAGACTTTTAATAGTGAGATATTTTTCTCCTCCTTTGGGATAGGAAATGTTGAGTAAAGGTGAGTGATATATATTCCATTTCTTTCAATATTTTAGTGCTTTTTCACATAGTTATTTCCCCTAAATTATGCATCTAAAAATAAAAACAGGATTGTGTCTTCAGTAGTCAAAAATGAAACTGTGATGGCTTGAAAATAGCAACTGGAAGGCCATTATTGGATTTGATTTTACTTTTACAGGAGGAAAATTATTCAATTATCACAGTTGTCATGGTCTGAATTTCTATATACTGGATATAAAGGCAGATTACTAACAATAAGGATAAAACAGGATACTTAGTGCTCTAATTTTAAATACATACCATTAAGAAACCCTAGTGTTAAGAATAGGAAACATTAGTTTTTAAAGAGAAAAGTTGATGATAATCTAATCTCAATAAATAAACTGAAATCTGATAATCTAAATAGAAACATAATGAGTTGAATGAATTTCCACGATGATACTGTACAGCAGTTGAAATGAATAAGCTAGATCAACACAAAGCTGTGCAGATCAATCTTAAAAACACAACTTTAGGTGCACAAATAAAATTACAATGTGAGAGCAGTTATGTAAATCTTAAAAACAAATGTAATGTTGTGTATGAATATTCATATATATGTAGTAAAATGTAAAACATAGCTGAGGAAGACATACCAACTTCTTCCTTGGGACAGCTTCCAAAGGAAGAGAAGGAAGTGGGTATGGGGCTTCAATTATTTGGGTAACACTTTATTTCTTTACAAATATAGAGGAAAATCTGCAGTTAATGTGGAAAAACCTATTTTAGATGAGGCTAGAGGGTACATGGTTGTGTCATTCCCTACCTTTCACTGTGTTTTTGAATTATAATATTTGAGGGGAAAGTCTTATCTCTGGCCTGAGGACCTTACAGCCTACTGTGATGAGGATAAGAGGTTTTGTGTACGTGAATGACTTGTTCGGTATTAGATGTTCAGTAATACATGTAAAGGCCATCAAAGGGATAGTCATAACCTGAGGGAAACAGGAAAGGCTTTGCATTCCATAAATTCTGCATCTAGTTGTTAGGGCTGGAACATCCACCGTGAAATGCAGTGGCTTTCAATCTGGGGACACTGAGGTGAGGCATCATTCTGCTCCTAAATGATTATAGTTCATACATTCAAGTGAGAAGTCCACTTTCATCATACACAAGAGCAAGGGATTTCAAGAAAAGCCACCTCCATGGGGCACCTGGGTGGCTCAGCCAGTTAAGGGTCAGACTTCAGCTCAGGTCATGATCTCGCAGTTCATGAGTTCCAACCCCACATCGAGCTCTGTGCTGACAGCTTGGAGCCTGGAGCCTGCTTTGGATTCTGTGTCTCCCTCACTCTCTGCTCCTCCCCCACTTGTGCTCTGTCTCTCTCTCTCTCAACAATAAATAAAAACATTGAAAACATTTTAAAAAAGAAAAAGAAAAAGCCACCTACGAATACTACAGGGATGTCAATCTTGAACCAGCACGGAGAAGGTGGAAGAAGCAAGAAGAAAGAAACATAATTGCTCTGTTAACCACAGTTTTCATTTACTTTTTTTATGTGGATGAGCTTCACTAACCAGGTCTGATCTGTAACAAGGACATCTGCCAGTCATTTAAAGGGACTCCCCACCTAAGGAACACAGGATAAAAATGGCCATTTCAAGTTGAAAGCCATGCATGTGTGGATGGCTGTTGAAAAATGAGAAATTTCACAGAAATCCAGAATGTTAGTGTTAGGATTCAGAGTTCAGTTAAGTCCTTCCAGGTAAGAAAATCGAGTCCCCAGAGCGATTGCGTGACTTACCAGATATCCACAGAGGAAGAACAAAGTCTGGGACCCAGATGATTTCCTTATGAGCTGAGTGACCTGCACACTACTGCAAGAAATTGTTCCATTACAGAACTTGAGGGATGATTGTTTGGGATTCTCTCTCTTTTATTCCAACTTAAAAAAGTAAAAAAAAGAAAAAAAAAAGAAAAGAAAAAAAAATCGTTGAAAATCCCACAGAAGCTGAAATTGCTGAAGACAACTAGCTCTTTAATTGTGATGTGCAGTGAGCTGCTTTTGCTTTTCACTTATCTCTGAAGTTGGATTGCCCAGTACATCTGAATGTTCCCTGACAGGTCCCTGTGATTTATATCAGCTCACAAAATTAAAAAAATGCAGACTTGCAGCTCTAATTTGCCAGAATCCTTAAGATCTCTTTTATCATGCCCTGCTGCCTGGATGGAAAGCAGCATTCACTTTAGTGACAATCTGCTCTAATCATTTTTTATTCAGGTGCCAGGCAGGGTTCAGGCAAAACATGAAAGAGAGTGATTGGAGCACAGTGTCTTCAGATGGCTTAAACCGCATCACTCAGGCAATTTTGATCCCTTTTTATTTAGCCACATTTAAACAGGTTTCTTTTACAGCTCAGAAGACCAAACCACTGCACAGGATATAAATAAGGTGCATCGCAAAAGTGCATGGCATTTGGAGAATGAAGTTCCTTTCTTCTAGATGTTTGTGACCTTGTGTTTCTAAATCTCTCTGAGTCCTCATTTCCTCATGTATGAAAAAGAGAATTAAAAAAATGTACTCATCATCAGATTATTCTCAAGGAGAAATGAGCTTGGAAAATTGTAAAAGTGCAATTTTTCATGTATTTTAAAGTGCTACACAAATGTTTCCTATACCTATTTCTGTGTGGGTTTTAAAAACCTGCCATCTTGTCTAGAAATCAGTTAAAAATCAGATATGCTAAAATTTCTCCAGTAAATTTTAACTGCTCATGCTCTCTCCAAGTTATTAAAAAATAAATTCAGATTCTGGTTACTATTCTTAGTATCATTCTGTGTTGTTCTGCTCTGAAAGATGAACGTAGGACAAATTGTGTAAAAAGCAATGGTCTTATTTACTACAGGTTTCTGGAGAGGAGAGAGAAATTGTTTCTTTGCTGCAAAACTACAGCAATTTATTTTACTTTATAAGAAAAAAAATCAATAAAAACAGAAGACAGCTACTGGGGCCACCAGAAAGAAATTCAAAATGGTAGCTGGTTTGGGAGTCTTTGCTTAGTTTAGAGAAAGCCTCCATCTTTTTAATGATATAACCCTCTCCTGTGCATCTGGGACTCCAGGACAAGCTCCATGTGACAACATAAGTCCTACTCAGCCAGTTGCCTTTTCTTCTTATTTCGTTTGACTTGCAAATATTAAGCTGGGCTTTAATGAGTGAGTTACCTGCACCGGCACTGTTGCCTACAGTTGCCCACGCTGGTGAACTCCAAGCTGCCTGGTCTGGCCTCCAGGAAAATTCAATGTATTTTCTTCCCATTGGAATACTGTTGTGTGCTCCTCACCAAAGGTAAGATCTTTGTGATGGAAACCACAATTGAATATTATCTCCTCATTTTTAGAGAAGTAGTGCCTGGATCAGAGATAATTGTATAAACTACTGCTGGATTACTATTGCTTTGCCTGTTGGGATTGATGGGGCAATGAGTTATAAGTCCAACTTAACACCTTACTGTTGCCATTTTTTCCTAATGCCTAAAATTTCCATGGGTTCATTGAGAAACTATTTATAACTACAAACTTTATACTAGACAGAGTGCTAATGCTAATTATAGAAAGGTAACATTCATTCCTGTATGATACGGTTTCTCTCTTGAAAGTCTTCTTAATGATATATGTACATTTTAATGGTTGAGGGTGTAAGACCCCACAGAAATAATACATTATTTGGGGCACAAGGATTGATTTGTTTGATTTGGCTATATTCTTGCCCTCCCTTTCTTCATTGGAGTAAAGGAGGGGAAATGGAAGAGGAGATATTAATCACTGAACTGCTAGCTAACGTGGATACCAGAGAGGGGGCAGTGAGTAGTTGGAGGTTCTGACGTCACCCAAGTGGACTGAAGGGTCAGTTACAGAAGAGGTAAAGCTCAGGGTTGCTTGTTTCTGGATCCCTGTGTGTATAGAACACACAGTGCACTATAAACTGGAAGGGAATTCAAGCTGCATCGAAGCCCCAAGTCATGTAAGCCTATGACCTGGAACATGCAAGGTGGCTGTACCCTTGTTTCTCAAAGTGTAAGCCCTGCACCAGTAGCATTATCATCATCTGAGAGCTTGATAGAAGTGAAGAATCTCAAACCCACGGGGCCTCCTGAATCACAACCTGTATTTCAATAAGATTCCCATATGATTCTTATGCTCTTTAAGTTTTTAAAAAGGATGGGCTAGTGAATTTAATAACAGGGAAATAGCATAGAGAATGTATTTTATTTTTTCTCAAGCTATATTTTTTTGGTAATTTTTTTTTTGTTTATTTATTTTTGAGACAGAGAGACAGAGCACAAGTAGGGTAGGGGCAGAGAGAGAGGGAAACCCAGAATTTGAAACAGGCTCCAGGCTATGAGCTGTCAGCACAGAACCCAATGCTGGACTCGAATCCATGAACCATGAGATAATGACCTGAGCCAAAGCTGGACGCTTAACCAACTGAGCCATCCAGGTGACCCCTTCTCAAACTATCTTAAGGTTAGATTAAACTGGACATTTTTTTAATATCTCAGTTTATCAAGCTCCTTTTTTTAAAAAAATGTTTATTATTTATTTTTGAAGTGGGAGGAGTAGAGACAGTAGGAAAGAGAATTCCAAGCAGGATCTGGGCTGTCAACACAGAGCCCCACGCAGGGCTTGATCACACAAACCACAAGATCATGATCTGAGCTGAAATCAAGAGTTCAGTGCTTGTCAGACTGAGCCATCCAAGTGCCCCAACAAAGTCTTAACAAAGGAAAAGAGCCTCTTTATCAAGTGCAGTGGATAAAGAAATAAAATTAAGGGTGGAGTCCAAATAGTTTTCATTCTATCACACCCCTGCTCTCCCACCCATGGTCCTAAGATGGCATATTCCAGTGGCCTGGACATCTACTCAAGAATAAATAGGACCTGGGGGCGCCTGGGTGGCTCAGTTGGTTAAGCGTCCGACTTGGCTCAGGTTATGATCTCACGGTTTGTGGGTTCGAGCCCCACTTCGGGCTTTGTGCTGACAGCTCTGAGCCTGGAGCCTGTTTCAGATTCTGTGTCTCCCTCTCTCTCTGACCCTCTCCTGCTCACGCTGCCTCTCTCTCAGAAATAAAAAACATTAAAAAAAAAAAAAAGAATAAATAGGACCTGTGTTAGAGGTGACAGTGACAATACCTGCTGGATGATGACTTGGGTCTTCAGGGCTTTCTATTTGGAGGATGTTGGAGGAGCAGGTTTTGATTGCAAGGCATCTTCTAATAGGATGGCTGCCGGGAGCCGCACCGGCCTCTCTGGATGGCAGTCACAACAAGGAAATGGCTGTGTTTGCATTTCCTGCCATGAGAAATGAAAACTGGTACCTCCTTCTGCTACAACTGGCTCATGTTGGAAATGAGGCTGCTGGTATTGACCAGGCCTCACAATGTTCCATATCAGACCCATATTCTGAACACAGATACCTCATAAGGAAAAAATATTCCTGCCTTTATAAAAGAGACTTTAGATGAAAGCTTTATGGGTGATTGTCAAAAGGCTCTTCCTATGGGCCTTGCAGACCCAAGGCTTAGATAATAAAGGGGGTTAAGAACATAAGAGTTACAACTGAGCTTGGCCCCGAGACAAAGAGTCTATTTTGGAGTTAAGGGCAAAACACAGTTACTACATACTATCTTTGCTAATTGGTGAAGCATCAGTCCCTTCCTCAAGGCCTGCATTCCACAAACACCCTCCCTTACACTGGCATCTGGGATGAGGATAGATAAGAGTAGCTAAAACATAAACCCAGGTGCAAAGACTGACACATTTAGGGCCCCCATGTTAGTTTCCACAAATAAACCAATTCAGAAACATTTATCCTCTTGAGAGCCAGACAGAATAACTCCTAGCTTATCTATATACAATTTAACTTGTATGTTATCCTGTTTTTCACTAAGAACATTCTGTTATTTCCTTGGTTGGAATAATTCTGCAATTGATATAATAAATGGCCTCCCACTGTAAGAAACTCCTTTCTCTGACTTCATGTTGTTGCTGAACCTTTAAATAAAGACACCAAAACCTACAGGACAGAGATGCCTGCCTGGTGATCAGAAAGAATCTCGGGGCTCTCTCACTCTTTCTCTTGCCGACACCATCCATCCTTCAGGGACCCCTGGACCTGTCAGAGCCAGCCTCCGACAGATGGCAATGATATAGTAATCACAGCAGCCCCAATTCACCCCTCTCTCATTCCCCAGCCTCTTGGCTTACTATCTACTGCTCTGCCTCCTCCAGTGTTTTCACATCAGGCATAAGAGTTTGTCACTGAGCTAAGGAAACCCCATGTAGTATCTGTTAGTATTTAACTATTATTAAATGCCAACAATAAAAACTACATATTTAATTATAATGGTAAAAGTGCTTTCTCTTGCTTAGGGAGACCCCATGTCAAAAACAAGGAATTTGAAACATACTTATATTCATGACTTGTTTACCAGTAGTAGATCATCCACACCTTAGTTATTCGAAAAAGTGTATATTAAACTGAAACATACTTAAAGGAATGTGTATTCCACTTTGTTCAAAAGTAAAAAATTCCAAACAGTATCCTATAGGAAAATTTCCTTAAACATGGTCACATTTGCTAACACAAAGTCCACTCCTGTCAGGCTAATGAGAAACTATTAAGTACTGGCCTTCAGGATTCAAAAACAAACAAGAAGAACCTCTATGGCTGTTGGATTTATACAAATAAATATGATGCATATGTTAAGTTGAACAATAGGTCAATTTTACATGGCTCAACCTAAGGGAAATGGAATCAATATTCTTAAATCAGGATCCCCCTGTGGATTGAGAATTTTGAGCTCCCTTATTAAATATTTATAAAGCACCTAATAGTGACATGGATTGAACTAAATGTTTATCCTCAGATTTGAATAAGGTCTGATCTCTGAGAATACATGCTTATCAATCATGGTATTTCAAATTCAGTTGTCCCACATTATATGAACCCCTGTTAATCGCACTAC